CAGAAATACCAAAACTGATTCTATTTCTTTGATACGAGTCAAATACACTTCAGTACTTTCCAAGTAGTACTCAACCCTCACCAATTTCACTCCCCCTGAATGAAACTTAGTATCACAAGAAATTCTACCAGCCCAAAGACACACTGTGCACAGCGCACACCACGTGTCACCCTAGAACTCGTCTAGGCACGGAGCGGTTCGCCTGTAATTTCAAGGCTCCCCCTCAAGTCGATCTCACCTTCTCTCAGTTCTCACTCACCGGTGTTTCCCTTACAAAAGATCTTTTTCAATGTCTCTCTCAAAAACCCTTTTTCTTGACAATCTCGACAACCATCCTAATGTCTCGTTCCTTGCATATATACGCCTTTCTTCTTTGATTCATCGAATATCCTCTTCATAAACATTCTTCCTTTTCTTCTTGAATGTAGCTGCCTTCTTTCCGTTTTCCATTTTCTTTCCTTATGTGCTTTCCATGCTTAGCTCCACATTTCCATTTTCTTGTTTGATCTTCTAGATGCTGAATATGCACTTCCCTTGCTTCAACATCTATCAATTAAAAAGTTCAGTATTTGATTTCCAAATTTTGATATAATTGAATATTTGATACGTTATATATTCTCCCATAAAATTATATGAATTGCAAATTTTGCTCGCTTCTTTGTTCTGGACTCGATCTATAAGCAAAAGGTTTTGGGTCAATCTCACTATGCCGTTCTCGGCTCGGAATTCTGTCGATTTTCGTCTCAATCCCCGAATATCTCATTATCGATCGATCCTCGCCTCCTTTATCCTCGATTTCGGGTACCCGAATATATATAGGATATACGCATGGTACCGGTGTTGCATACACTCTACTGTTATTAGTATTGCCATTATTTATTTTCGTCTCTTTTGTTTTGTTTTTCTGGTCAAGGTGTACATATCGAACTAGCACGAAAACAAAACAAAACACGGTCGTGTCTCATTACTTTGAATGCTTCGGCTTCCAATTGACAGACATTGAAGATAACTGCTTCTTTTTCTCCCTCTCTCCGCGCTGATCCATGTAAGTTTGGGCATAGACGAGAGGTTTATTACAGAGGCTGTCGAGTTATCCACCTTTGAAACATGACATACCCTTCCTCTGGTTTGTACTCCACGGTGTGGCCGCAACCCTACAAAGACAAAACATTTCAAGAAGCTTCGGATCCAGAAGGAGACCCAAAGGAGAATCAATGGTGAGAAAGACTTGCTTTGATGGTGGCGAATGTCATCTCGTTGGCGTAAGTCCTCGTGTATCTGCCCCCGGGGAAAAAAGACGGTCCGAGAGAGAAATTAACGGCTTGAAGTACGTACGGTTCACGAAATCGAAATGACGAACGAGAGACGATAGGGTTTTTTTTTACCCCGCGACTTGGTCGGTTATCATCCATGGCCTCCAGTCATCAACCACGGAATAGTTGAGAGATCTTATCCAAGCTTGAGTCCCGAGGAATGGCACAAAGAGATCGTGATCGCCGCTGTTTGCAGAACATATCACCCGAATCCCGTAAAAGAAACGAAAAATCAATTCCCGAGAACGAGCGAGAGCGAATCTAACCTGAAAACCAGCGACCGGTATCCTTTGATACTGTTGTTTACATGGTAAGGTATACTGCTTTCGATATCTTTGTCATAAGGCATGTCCTGATTGCATCTCACCCATTTTCCGACACTTCCCTGTATCCGAAAATTCTCCAAACCTTAGTTTGTCGATATTCTTTGATCGTCACTTAACGATATCGATAGTGAAACCAAACCTCTTGATTGTGCATATACCTTCACCACGTGAAGTGCCCTACGCACCGTCTCGTTGTTAGCCCAATACGAAGACAACAAATACCGATATGTCTGAACGCGAAGGCGAAAGCAATAACGTTCACATTCAAATCAAAATCGCGGGCTAAGAGCAAGAAAGATTTCTTACGTAGCAATCAGAAGACGGGGCCGAAAGAGTTGCGTTTACAAGTCCTTTGAGGTATCTTCTTCTCTCTGGTAGATTCGGCCTCGGGGACGCGAACTCGCACAACGGAGTCAAAATAAACGCCTCATTTATCCTCGAGACGCACTGTAATGAACCATAAATTTCTACATAACGATGCACTTTTCCATTTAAATTGCTCGTTACCTAGTCTCATAGAATATACCTTATCGTAATCTCGGAGGAATCTCAAGCATTCCGAGTTTTTAGGATCGACATTGTTGTAATTTCCTCCGCAGCATCTCTTCAACGACTGCAAAAAGACGAGGTTCGGACAGATTCCATACCCAAGAACGAAAGGACGATAAGATTCTTTACCTCGTAGAGCTCGTCTGAGATCAGTCCCATTCCATGAGCATATGGAATTCGGTAGTTGTGATCAAAACTATCGTCGGTTGAAGGGTTTCCGAGAACATATCCCTAATATCGGTCGCATTTCGGGAGGAAAAAAAAAAGAAGAAACTTCTTATTTCTTGATCATGTTCATCAATATACGTCTGTAAAAACTCGACAAATCGATATCGATAAACCTCAATATTTATCAGAGGTACTAAGCCTTGTTCATTTCCTGCATGTCGTGAATGTAAATATTGTTATGACATAGGAAAGAATACAATCAAAGAAGACAGATGTTCATAGGGTCGAAACCCGCAAATATATACCTTTTGAGACTTGTTGGACAATCGCGGGTACGATGATACCCGAGTAAGAATCTCCTCCGACATAGAATGGATTGGAGACAAACTCCGGATGATCAACTAGCCACTGCAAGAAATCCAAACAGATCCCGAAATAACGAACCGTTATGAGTCACGACGCCATTGCGTATACGAGAATTCGAACGAATGCCTCGAGAAACTTTGAGTTTTTTTCATGCTTTACCTTTCGAACAAATTCGTGAACCTGCTCGGCTTGTCTCGTGTCACTAGGTGTATTAGCAGGAGGAGTTCTTGAGTAGGAGAAACCAGTTCCGACAGGTTGGTCCAAAAATATTATACTAGCGATCTGGTAACCAAAATAACCGAAATCGAAATCGAAATCCAAGGACGAACCCATTTGTGATCAACGCTTGATCGATCCTATGAATAGCTATCTCACCTTAGTCCATGAATACGATGTAGACGCCAAAGAGGGCACACCTCCATCGTAATCGTCGACCTTGAAAGCCAGTGGACCTGAGGATTTATCGCAGACAAACCGTCGAAAACCGGACCGAATCAGTTAAAACCCGATACCAAAGTTTCGATTTTTTATTCGTTCGAATACCGATTTCGTAGGCTAAGCCGGACAAGGAAGTGCAACCGGGCCCTCCGCTTAACCAGACCAGAAGAGGGTCTTCTTCAGGGTTCGTCTCGGACTTTACGAAGTAGTAGAAAAGCTGCACTTCCTCTGCCTCGCCGCCAACGCCAACGTATCTATACACCAAGAACGCATATAATATGATTATTGATTTAAACCGGTTTTAATAACCATTAATCACTGATCTTAATCAATATTATGATCGGATTAAGAGGGGGAAAAAACCCATTACGGACAATCCATTACCCTGTTTCGAGCTCGAAAGGCAGAGGACCTTCGAAACCGGGAAGAGACTTGACGACCGAACCCGAACCGACGTGGCGAATCATCACAAGCAGCAAAATTGAATTCAGTACGGAGAAAATATACGGACTTTCCATTTTCCGCGGATTCAATTTCGGACGACAAAAACTTTCTTTGTTTTTTGCAAAAGCAGAGCGACGAAAATAGTAAAACGCAGAGGGGCATGTTACGTGAACCACTTGTCCGCTCTTGCCATTATTGCCTGTTGGTATTTTCTCTGTCTTTGTCTTTTTTTTAAAAAAAATTATGAATGCGTGACTTTTCTCTATGGTACTTCTTCATTTGCGATGACGAATTTATGAGCACTAAAAAATAAATTTGAATAATAATAAAAAAAACATACTTTGAATTCAAATAGTCGCGTTATGAAATATGTATCTAAAAATCGAAGATCCAAAAATAATTAACGAGATTAATATGGATTCGACCATGAAATTAGGGATTTCTTATTTTGCCAAATCTTTTTAATTTTTGTTTCTCTCTGCCGACATTGTTTTTTTTTAATAATCCGGAAGTTTATCAGACCTTTGATCCGATTACATCTCCCATATGACCGGAGAAGTCCAGGTGAATGTCTCTCTCTACGTTTGGATTTAAACCCAGGGTGAATACCCATCCATTGATTACCAACTGAAAAGATAACATGTTATCGATAAAAGTTTTAATTTACGATATTAATATTATGTATTGCTTTGACCTATTTTTCAAAAATTAAATCTAAAATTTTATTATATTGCAAATGCAATTTAGGAGGAAAAAAAAACTCTCCCGTTGTGTAAAAAAAAAAGAATACAGAATCTTGATTTATATGTACTTCCATGTGCTATCGGACGTTAGATGGGTCTACTGCATGTCAAACGTGTTTGATCTGTATGGATGCACATTAAAAGACAAAAAAAAATAATTGATAATCAGTGGTGGTCCACTAAATTCAATTCTAATTTCTTAAATCTATAAATTTATGCCATGTACATTGAATTTGTTTTTATTTCTATCATTCATCTTAATTTACTGCATTCAATTCTCTAAATTTTATAAACTTATTTTCACCAAAAAAAAGTTTATTTTCGAATTTCTAAATGTTACTAATTATTTCATGTCTTTAAACCACTATAACCCAATTGATTACAACTCTAAATCCAAAACAAAATATGTGCGTGTATATATGTATGCGACCATAATTGTGTAATTTTCTAGTAATTGCATATGAAATAACAAAGTGTACCATAATGTGTAAATTTAATCATGTTCTTTGGTAACGTAAATTTAATCAATTTGCAAGATATCATATGACAAACACTGAGTTTATAAAACCTTTGCATTTAAATACGCTCCACATTTGGCACCAACATATAAATTAGGAAAAACTATATATAAATCCAAATTTAATTTATGTTTAAAATTCGTTAGCATGAACAAAATCGACCACGAATTTTATGTAGTGATTATGCGTTTAGCAAATTACGTTGCCAATCGATTTTTTTTTTTTTTTTTTTTTTTTGGGGAAACCTAGTAACTAGCGGAGGAGATCTCTCCTAAAACCAGTGAAAGTCTATCTAATAATATAACTAAATATACAATGTATATACGCTGAATAATCTCAGCCAATACCCCTCAAGTTGGTGAGTGCAAATTATGCAATCCCAACTTGCCAAGAAACCAAGCAAATTCCTTTTTCCCTAACGCTTTGGTGAAAATATCCGCCAGTTGTTCCCGTGTTGACACATGACGCGGAAGAATGTTTCCATGATCGAGGTGATGTCGAAGAAAATGGCAGTCCACCTCAATATGTTTCGTGCGTTCGTGGTAAGCATCGTTGGATGCGATATGGAGAGCGGCTTGACTATCACAAAACAGCAACATTGGTGAGGAATGGTCCACACCGAGAGTAGATAGAAGGCTCTTGATCCAGAGAAGTTCGCAAGTGGTGAGACGCATGGCGCGATATTCGGATTCTGCCGAGGACAACGACGGAATGGATTGCTTCTTAGTCTTCTATGAAATTGGGGAGGATCCGAGTTGGACGAACCACCCACTAACGGATTTGCGGGTGAGGGGGCAACCGGCGTAGTCTGCATCACACCAGCCACGGAGACGAAGATCGCAATCAGATCGAAAGAGAACTCCTTGACCCGGGTCTCGTTTTAAATAACGAACGACATGCATGGCAGCGTCCCAATGGTCCTGTCGAGGCGTGTGCATAAACTGTGATAGAATGTGAACAGAATAAGCGAGCTCCGGGCGAGTAACAGTTAGGTAAATGAGGCGACCCACGAGACGGCGATATTTCCCGGCATCGGTGAGAAGAGGACTATCGGACAACGAAAGACGGTGGTTTTGATCCAATGGAAAATGGGCCGGCTTGCAACCTAGTAACCCAACCTCGGAGATAATGTCGAGAGCATACTTCCGCTGACAGATATAAATACCGGTCTTGCTGCGAGCGACCTCAAGTCCAAGGAAATATTTAAGCGTACCCAAGTCCTTCATACGAAAACACGAACCAAGATACGACTTGAAGGCATGTAGAGCAATAGACGAGTTCCCTGAGATGATCAAGTCGTCCACATAGACTAGAACACACAAGTGTACGGAACCTTTGCGGAAAGTAAACAACGAGTGATCCGATTGGGACTGAACAAACCCGTACCTTATAAGGGCCGAGCGGAGCTTTTCGAACCAACAACGTGGAGCTTGACGCAAACCATACAGGGATTTACGGAGGCGGCATGCGTAACCGTGTTCTGGAGACTCGAAACCCGGTGGCATGCGCATGTAAACTTCTTCACGCAAGTCACCGTGTAGAAACGCGTTATGAACATCCATCTAATTAAATGGGATGTGGGATGTATGAGTAAAAGACGAATGTAGAAAATGCCATTACATAGCAGCTAGAAGGCGTGAAAGAGAGATCGGTGTCGGGGAAATCTCCAAGGTATCGCTTTCGTGTATACTCCGAGGAAGACGGCTTCGGGATCGAAACATTGCAAGATAGACTCTGAATAAGTGCTTTGTTGATCCCTGAAACACACTGAAAATGAATCACAAAGTCTGCATCAGATTGATAAGTTCCGATCAAAACCTCGAATTTAAACGGCAGATTCTGACCTCATGATAACGTTTCATGCATCTCGAGCACTCTAAGTTGTTCGGGTCCACGTCTATATAATCCTCATGACAAGATGTCTTCAACGACTGACAAAAAAACGATTTACGGACTTACTAAATAAGTCGAAAACAAGAAGAGAGATATCGATCGGTTCTTGATTTGTAACCTCGTAGAGCTCGTCGGAGATCAGTCCCATTCCACGAGCGAATGGAACACGTGAGTTGAAATCGATCCTGGCATTAGTGAAAGGGTTCCCGAGCACATAACCCTAATGGAATCCGGATATTTTAAGAGAAAACGTATAATGAAACTTAATTAGTCGTCAAGATAATATGTACATTGATGACTATATCAACGAACCTGAAGATTTATAGGGGGTTCCGAGCCATGCTCATTTCCTGCATTGTGATATAATAGATACAACACGTAGGAAACTCGAGGTTAAACCTTATTTAAAATTACAATATTACCCTTATACATTCGAAAGACCGATCAAAGAAGGCATATATATGTATATATATACCTATAGAGATCTCTTGAACGGTAGCGGGGATAACAATTCCGGAGTAAGAATCTCCAGCGATGTAAAAATGATTCGACATGAACTCTTGATGATCAAGGAGCCACTGAAACAGAAAACCGATGAATGTCAAGAAAAGGGAGGCATCAAAAGCAAAATGCATGGGCCGGGAAAGATTTCCGAATATATACGTAAACATGCATGTCTGTGATTACCTTCCTAAGAAACTGATTCACGTACTTTGCCTCTTTCGTGTCGCTGGGATGATTACCGACACAACACGTAGGAAACTCGAGGTTAAACCTTATTTAAAATTACAATATTACCCTTATACGTTCGAAAGATGGATCAAAGAAGGCATATATATATATATATATACACCTATAGAGATCTCTTGAACGGTAGCGGGGATAACAATTCCGGAGTAAGAATCTCCAGCGATGTAAAAATGATTCGACATGAACTCTTGATGATCAAGGAGCCACTGAAACAGAAAACCGATGAATGTCAAGAAAAGGGAGGCATCAAAAGCAAAATGCATGGGAAAGATTTCCGAATATATACGTAAACATGCATGTCTGTGATTACCTTCCTAAGAAACTGATTCACGTACTTTGCCTCTTTCGTGTCGCTGGGATGATTACCGAGGGGAGTTCTCGCGTACGAGAACCCGGATCCCACGGGTTGGTCCAAAAATATTATGCTAGCAACCTATTGTATATCAGAATTTCGAATTCAGAATCGAAACTTGACGTCGTATTCAAGTTCATGACAGGAATCGATCATCAAACCTTTGTCCATGAATACGTTGTCGAGACCAACTTTGGCACACTCCCGTTGTATTCTTCGCCCTACGTAAACATGCATGTCTGTGATTACCTTCCTAAGAAACTGATTCACGTACTTTGCCTCTTTCGTGTCGCTGGGATGATTACCGAGGGGAGTTCTGGCATATGAGAACCCAGATCCCACGGGTTGGTCCAAAAATATTATGCTAGCAACCTATTGTATATCAAAATTTCGAATTCAGAATCGAAACTTGACGTCGTATTCAAGTTCATGACAGGAACCGATCATCAAACCTTTGTCCATGAATACGTTGTCGAGACCAACTTTGGCACACTCCCGTTGTATTCTTCGACCTTGAAAGTCACGGGACCTGCGGTATTTTATTTTTTAACTTTCAAGAAACTGTAAAAATCGACAGGGATTTTACCATTGATATTTACCGATAAAACTAGCAAATGGTTTCCAATCTTCAAGACTGTATAATGGATCTTCGCATTTTCTAAAATGCGGTGTTAAATGTTAGGAAACGATCATGCATGTGTCTGCAGCTAAAGAAGCATCCATCCTCCTGTTTTGCATGATTAGTTCAAGTTCATATAAACTTGAAAATTTATGGAGAATCCACATTTACCTAAAGGGTAAATTTGATTAGGCGTGAGCGTTTCGGTATTTGGTTAAGCTTGGTAATTGTTCGACTCGAATCATTCGGTTCTATAAAAATTATTTTTTATTTAGGTTCCGTTTGATTTTTCTTAAAAATATATATATATTTTTCCTTTAAACATTTTTGAACTTGAAATAAATGATCAATAATAATAACAACAACGAACGGTCGATCTCTTCTAATAATCATTGGAGTTACCGATCTCGTAAGCAAGGCCGGATAGCGAGGTGCAGCCGGGCCCTCCGCTTAACCACACCATTAGAGGGTCTTCTCTTGGATTTCTAAAATTATTTTTTATTTAGGTTCCGTTTGATTTTTCTTAAAAAAATATATATATTTTTCCTTTAAACATTTTTGAACTTGAAATAAATGATCAATAATAATAACAACAACGAACGGTCGATCTCTTCTAATAATCATTGGAGTTACCGATCTCGTAAGCAAGGCCGGATAGCGAGGTGCAGCCGGGCCCTCCGCTTAACCACACCATTAGAGGGTCTTCTCTTGGATTTCTCTCGGACTTCACGAAGTAGTAGAAAAGCTGCGCTTCATCCGCCTCGCCAACGCCGACATAACTGCGCCAAACAGATCCATGGTTCGGTTATTACAGTTACAGATCGAAGATCCGACAATGTTGGATCGGATTCGAGAGAACCCCACGTCGGGAAATCAAGAAAGGACACTGACCCTGTTTCGAGCTCGAAAGGAAGAGGACCTTGGAAACCGGGAAGACGCCTCACGGTCGAGCCAGAGTCACCGAGTCGGAGGAGAAGCAGCAAGGAAATTACCCGTAAAAAACACAAGTTCTTCATTCTTTCGGATGCGGTTCCCGAGCTGGGAATGTTTGTCATCTCAAATCTAGAATTAAGTATCGTAAAGAAGGAACGGAACCACATGCAATGATGCGATGCAACAGACGAAATGTTTTTTCAATGAGTAGAAGAATTCTTCAGTTTCCACACGTGTCACCGAATCTTCCACGTGCCATCCCGCGCCTGAGAACGCGAAACTGATGATACTTTTGTCCTGTTCTGTTTCTCTGATCTGCCTTCTTCTTCCGCAGTATCTTCCACTTGCTCTGTTTCCTCCTTGTTTTTTTTTTGTTTTTTGTTTTTTTATAATTCAGAAATTCACCTGTATTCGACCTAACTTGACAAAAAAATATCCTTTACTTGGAAACTCGAACCCGGATTGAAACAACCAGAAACCCTCGATAACATTACATTTTCTGCTTTAAACTTGGGAAAAGAATCATATGAAACAAGGTAAATTCCATATATATATATATATATATATAAATCTGAGTTATAGATTGGTAAGAAGAGAGAAGGGACGTAAGATTTAGAGGAGAAGGGTTTCTTTTCCACGCCGACATGCGCACACAAGTACAATGAACACGACTGTCTGAATTCATCAAGTGTTTTTAAGAGGAACATGTGGTGATACATTGCAAAGACCAACGATTGAGTTCTGCCATTATTCTTCCTTTGATCTGCGTTTCGGAGTTCAATTACATCGGGAATCTCTGTCATCGTTAAGAAACCGAAACATTTTACTGTGATGTGGGATTGGGTTTTGTATAAACCAATGACGGATACAACCGTGACAATAATTATTATTTTTATTATTTCAATTAATATCATAAATCAAACTAATAGCATAAGATTTGGTCCGTATGATTTGATCGTCATGCAGCATGCTTATAAATGTTCACCATCAATCCACCGTTTGAACATGACGTAATACGGTTTACGTTTGTACTCTGCTGTGTGTCCTCCTCCCTACAGAAATTCAAAAACAATTAGTAGAAAGCAAATTAATTAAAAAAAAGGTTAGAAAATGCATTTTCAGATGGATATATATAAAAAAAAGTTAATTGGAAATGTGATACAGTTACAAATTTTAAAAAAAATTAAAAATATGGTTGGGAAATATACCGAATAGCAGATTCGGGTCCTAGCAGACAAGTTTCAATCGTTGGAATTGATCTCGAGGTGTGGATACGTGTAGAGGGTGAGGGATTCTTCCTCCCTTTCGTGATCGGACGTGTTCTTCGATTGATACAGGCGAGGAAACAATTAATGAGTATGTGTAAATTAATGTGTTCGTATTTTAACCACGTGACGAAGTAAGTTAAAAAATTTGCATAGTAACAAAAAATACAAATCAGACTATCACAAAATTGGGATTTTATAATTTCTTGTATACCAATAAAATCATAAAAAATTCAGAAAGAAACGTTTTAGTAAAATTCATATTCTTTTTTAAAAGGTGAATTTAAAACAAAACTAAGTCCTTGAATGACATTGATTTTTATTTACTATATTTAGTATACCGGTAAAATGGTTAATTTTATATATATATATATATATAATGTCGGATGCAAAATAGGGAATTAAAAATAATCACCCTTGAATTTGTCGATTATCCATCCACGGCCTCCACTCATCAACAACTGGATAACCCAATGCTTTTATCCATGCTTGTGTCGCAACGTACGACACAATTATATCGTGATCGCCGCTATAATCGCAATCGCAATCGCAACGGCAGAAGCAAATGTAAACGCAACCAACGTTATCATCAATGTATATAACGAAACGCGGAAACCCGCGATCACTTTTAGACAAGAATTCAGATATATTACATTACCTGTAAACGAGAGAACGATAGCCTCTATTGCTGAGGTTAACGTGGTAAGGGAGTGCGCTATCGATATCTTCCTCGTATGGTATTTCTTCACGATTGCATCTATCCCATTTCCCAATCGTCCCCTGTTTTCATAACTCAAAACTCTTGCATATGGATATGCGTGTGTATGTATATATATATATATATATATCGTTCAATGGAAAAAATACAAGATATTTTTTTGATAATTCGAAAATTTATCGGAGCTTTGGTCCAACTACATCTCTCAGAAGAGCGGAGAATTTCGGGTGAATGACTATCCCTACGCTTAGATTTGAATCCGAGGTAAGAGCATATTTTGTATGTTCTCTTACCGCTAGATCACCCAAGGTGGTTGGGTAATACAATATATTATTCCGCAAATCGTATAAGAAAAAACCGAAAGTCACATACCTTTCTTATGCCGAGCGTTGTCCGGACGGATTCATCGTTGGACCAGTAATAAGACAGCGTGTAAAAATAGGTCTGTCCGAAAAAGAAACAACCATTGTGTTGTGTTGCTATGCGCAAATAGATTAAAGAAGAAAAAAAAAGGTAAGGACAGATTAAAAAAAAAAAATGATGAACCTGGCACTCGGGTCCTGGATAAGGAAGATCGGGATGGCATTTATCTGCAGTGATGAGTGCTCCGTTTATGTCTTTAGTGCACTGATCATAGAAAAAACCAACCGTGTTTTGTAATGACTTAGCTCTCTGAACAAAGATTTTCGACCTCAAAAGCGAAAAAACTTGCCTCGTCGAAACGTTCAAGAGCTCTCGCGCATTCTATGTTGCTCGGTTCCACAAGAAAATACTTCCCTTTGCAGCTAGTCACCAATGACTGCAGAGTTTCTATGAATGGAATGTGAGTATATACATATATATAGATATTCATATGTGTATATAGTGTTTTTGCAGTTTTACCTCGTAGATCTCGTCGGAAATAATCCCCATTCGATGAGCGTATGGAATCCCAGCGTCGTTATCCGCCTCTTCGTCGGTAAGGGGATTGCCTAAAACGTAACCCTATACATGACGGTACGATACGAGCCATCAATCCACAAATCAACACTATGTTGTGTCTTTTCGGCATTCATTTTTGGGAACAAAACTTTGATATATATTCTCGTACCTTGAGATTCACTCGAGGCTCGACCCCTTGGTCGTTTCCTACATTTCACATCCAAATAATGATTCGAATCCATATATAGTTTGGGAGATATATATACATTAGAAAAGTTTAATGAAAATATCAAGAAACAATTATATATATATATATATGTATATACCTTCGGAGATGAACAAAACAGCAGGGGGCACCACTTTCATCTCGAGCGTTTTCTTCTCCCACAAGGCAGAGAGTGATCGGTTGCTTAGTGGTCAAGAAATTTTTTATCGGTTACAATTTAGAGTTTAATCTGTTTAAAACCGGTTTTAATTCATGTGTTACATGTCATGCATTATTTGCCAAGAAATTGACGACTTGTAAAAAAAATATTTGCCATGTCATGCATTATTTAACTGAGGTGGCATAAAAAAAAATGTTTGACGTCAGTGTATTGAACGCTAGATTGACGCGTTTTGTTTAGGGTGTTGATTTGGGATGAATTTTTTATTTGGGGAATACATTAGATAAATTTAAAAAAAAAAAACTTCTACTTCAAACCTTATATCATAACCTATATAAATTGTTTCAAATCAATCTTTCACTTTAAATTTTGTTATAAAAATCATCAACTATTATTTAGTCATCATCTATCTAAATTACTCAAAAACAAATATAATGTTTTACATTTATTAAAAAAAATATATAAAATTTGAATACAAAAATATATTTAAATTATAGAATTTTTAAAATAAAAAAAAATATAATTTTATTTAAATTTATCATATTATAATATTTAAAATTTATATAAATATTATAAACAATGATCTTTATAATAAAATTGTGCACAAATGTTATATTTAAAATTGAGTATATTTTATTGGTTGTAAATATATAAGAATTTGGGAATTTTTATGTAACTTTTTTTTTAAATTATACAAAATCACATCATATTTATATTTATACTTTTTCGTTAAAAAATCATTAAAAAGTTGAAAATTATCTTAACAATTAACATTAGAACATAGTTCATTTTGTATAATTTATTAAATTAATTTTTTCTGTTTTAAAATCGGATTAAGTTCCAATTTATAGTCGAAAAATATCACCGCATCGTATAGAAATTTGAGAGAATTTACAATTGTTTTATTTTAAGCGTATAAGTTAAAAATTTCTCATTATTTTTTTTATTAAATTGATGTATTTATATTTTCTCGTTTAATAGATAACGTTTGCTTGTTTTTATAAATGATACGACGATAGTATTTAAATCAAATGAATTTATCTTTTCCACTTATTTATTTCCTTTTCCCTATTCTAGATATGGTTTCCATATTTTCAGTCAATCTCCTTCATCGCCGTGTAGGAATCGATGGGCCCCTCTATAAAAAGGGACTAAGCATCCCTCAAAGAGTCTCACTCGCACTCGTTTGATTCATCGAAAGAGCCAATCCTCCTCTGCTCCATAACCTGCCATGGATCTCTCACGTAAACGCAGGTTCGACGACGCTCACTCACCGCAGCGACAAACCCACGATGCCACTTCGTTGCCGGAGTCCATCTTCGCCGGCTGCGAGTCTCCGCCGTGGGAGGTGCTCAGCCTCGTCTCCGATTACATGGACGACAAAACCCTAGCCGTCGCTTCCTCTGTCTCCAAGACATGGAACCTCTGTCTCTCCTCAGACCATCTATGGCGGTCTCTGGGCACGACCCGATATCATTCTCTAGC